GGTAATTCAACATATTTTGTTCCACACAAGAAAGCAAGTCATACAGATTTGGAAAAACATGAAGGTAAGTAAATGAGTAAATATTCCTTTTAGGAGAACTATCCAATTATGAAGTTGTCACAGTCACTTTTTTCAAACAGGCGTTTTCTTACATCCAGCAGGCCACAGTCACACTCCTCTCCTTTCTCCACGTATAGGTTTCCACAGCGTGGACCTCCCAGAAGACTCTCCGGCTGAGGCACGTTAAACAGACACATTCCACCACCATGCAGTAGACTGAGAGAGAGATCCCGTTCACTGCAGCTGCTGAAGAGCTGACCGGGCATAAACCTGCACATGGGAGCATTTACTGCGTACTGTACGATTTATCACCAGCACTATATTATCAGACAGTCACAAACGCTCACCCAGTGGAGGGCTCCATGATGCAGCCCCCAAGCCGAGGCTCGTTCTGGCACTGGCAGTGCCTGTCGGCTGTATCGTGACTCATTCCCAGGTTGTGACCCAACTCATGTGCCACCGTTGACGCCACACCTAACACGCTCACCAGGTGATCCTACAGTACAGGAAACATGGGGTAATACTAAAAGAAGACTTTTTAGTGCATAAAGGCCAAAATTAAACAAAAGATTTCTCTCACCACATTCACTCCTCCTGACCGATCCTTTGAGCACATGGAGGACTGAGATGCCATGCCGACTGTCGTCCCATCAAATGATTCACCCCTAACATATAAAAGCAAATTATTATTTACCATATTAAATCTGATCAACTGGTGCCTATATTTTCCACAATGCATCTGGACCTACATGATGAGCTGTGCGTTGTCATGCCGTAGTCGTGGTAGAAGCTCCCTGGTCCTCCAATCCAGGAAGCGGTTTAGAGTTTCAGTGGGATTTTTATCCACTTTAATTTTGTCCTGGTCACTCCAGATCTCCAAACCCAGCAGAGCCACACGTACATTCAGCGGCCGGTAGAACTGAGACAGAGAGACAGCCAGTGATTTAAACAAGTATATGTACTTCAGCATATGTATAGTGGCAAGCAGTGTTGTTATTATTAACTAAAACTATAACTAGTAACAACTGTTTTCATACAATATAAATATCAGCTGAAATATTAGAAATGTAGATTTGACAACTAACTGAAATAAAAAGGTGGACGTATGAAAAAAAGATTAAGACTTGACACTAAAGACTGGAATTATGTAAAAAATTTAATTCAGTAATATTACTGTTTTTACTTTGGTGAGCCTAGTAGACTTCTTTCAAAAATGTTTTTAAAAATCTTACAATTTTGATCAGTATATAAAATAAAACTTACCCAGTCTACTTGGTTTGCCACATCCAACAAGCGGTAAATTATGGTTTTATTATTCTTCTGATAATTCAGATACTGTGAGGAAGAAACGCCAAACTCAAAACTGCAACCTTAAAAATTCAGATATTTAGACTGTAAAGCAATTAA